AGGTAGAGAAAAGGCAGGAGCAGATGGGAGTGAATAATCACACAGCATCTCACACAGTAAGGGTACTTGCTTTAATGCTCCCCTTTCACCACCTGGAAACTTCTAGCCATGTTTTCACTTTAATACTGTGTCTGGACAATCATGTAGCTATTCCAGCAGACAGCTGAGCAACAGGCAGGCTGATAAATACTAAAATGAGTGATGTGTGGACATAAAGACTCAAATCAAGCTTCTCAGCAAAAGGATAATCCCAGCTGAACCTGAGAGTTTGAGTGGGCAGGGCCAAATCAGAAGGGGAGGAAACTTTATTCTAAGCAAGAGCAAGTAAAAACCACCCAAGGACCAGAAAATTTGGGGTGATTTTAGATCTGGAGTATAAAGAATGTAAGGGAAACCAACCACTGATTGGTGGCTCAGGCCTGTAATCCTAGCTACTCAGGAGGCTGAGATCTGAGGATTAAAGTCTGAAACTAGCCCAGGCAAGAAAGTCCCTGAGACTATCTCAATTAAACATTAAAAAGCCAGAAATGGTGCCAGGTACGGGTGGCTCATGCCTGTAATCCTAACTACTCAGAAGGCTGAGATTTGAGGATAGTGGTTCAAAGCCAGCCCAGGCAGGAAAGTCCATGAGACTCTTACCTCTACTTAACCACCAGAAAACTAGAAGTGGAGCTGAGGGTTAAAGTGGTAGACTGTTAGCCTGGAGCAAAAAGAGCTCAGGGCAGCACCCAGGCCTTGAGTTCAAGCCCCACAACTACCAATTTTTATTTTTATTTTTTTATTTTTATTTTTGCCAATCTTGGGGCTCGTACTCTGGGCCTGGGCATGTTCTTGAGCTTCTTTTCCTCAAGGCTAGCACTCTACAACTTGAGCCACAGCACTACTTCCAGCATTTTCTGTGTATGTGGTACTGAGGAATTGAACCCAGGGCTTCATGCATCCTAGACAAGCACACTAACCACTAGGCCACATTCCCAGCCCCACACCAAATTTTGTTTTTGTTTTTTGTAGGTTGAGGATCTTGAACTCTGGGCCTGGGCACTGTCCCTCAGTTCTTCAGCTCAAGGCTAGTGCTCTACAACTTGAGCCAAAGTGCCACTTCCAGTTTTCTGAGTGGTTTATTGGAGATAAGAGTCACAGACTTTCCTGCCCAGGCTGGCTTTGAAGTGCGATCCTCAGATCTCAGCTTCCTGAGTATCTAGGATTATACGCAGGAGCCACCAGCACCTGGCAACCAAAATCTTTTAAAGCCAGAAATGGGGGGCTGGGAAGGTGGCTTAGTGGTAGAGTGCTTGCCTTGCATGCATGAGGCCCAATTCCTCAGCACCACATAAACAGAAAAAGCCAGAAGTGGCTCTGTGGCTCAAGGGGTAGAATGCTAGCCTTGAGCTGAAGAGCTGAGGGACAGTGCCCAGGCCCAGAGTTCAGGCCCCATGACGGACAAATAAAAAAAGCCAGATAGCACTGTGACTCACACAGCAAAGCTCCAGCCTTGAATGAAAAAGCTGAGGGAGAACACGAGGCCCTGAGTTCAAGCCCCGGTACTCAATACCAAAAAAGTGTAGGGATATGTTATGTAACATTCAAAAGGAAACTAGGACCATCAATAGCCAAGAAAATTCTGAAAAACAAAACAGAGGAAGTCATTCTATTGGACATCAAAACTTTCCAGGGATGAACAGACAAGAACAGAACCTATACACGTATGCAAACATGACTTGTAAAGACTTGGAAGACATAAGGAGTGCATGAGGAAAAGATACATTTTATTCACTAAATGATGCTGAGACAACTGACTGTCCATAGAAGGGGGAAAAAATTAGACCCTGTTCTCATACAACACATGAACACAAAATTCCAGGTAGCTTTTTCCCCTAAACCCTTTCCAACAGAGCCACATCTCTGAGTGCAGAAGTTCCCAGCTTGCAAGTTGGGGCCTTCAACTTTTCAAACTGAAATGAATATGTGACTGAGATGACATCCCTTATAGCCATGGCTTCCTTTCCTGATGTCAAAGAAGCCAAATTATTCATCTAAAGATTGTTTAGAGAACCGGTGCACTGGTGACTCACACCTATAATCCTAGCTATTCAGGAGGCTGAGATCTCAGGATCAAAGTTCAAAGGAAAGTCTGTGTTTTTTTTTTTTCTTTTCTTCGTTCTTTTCTTTCTTTCTTTCATTTTGACAGTCCTGGGGCTTGAACTCAGGGCCTTGGCACTGTCCCTGAGCTTCTTTTTGCTCAAGGCTAGCACTCTACCACTTGAGCCACAGGGTCACTTAAGGCTTTTTCTGTTTATGTGGTACTGAGGAATCAAACCCAGGGCTTCATGCAGGCTAGCAAGCACTCTACCACTAAGCCACATTTTCAACCCCATAAGACTCTTATCTCCAATTAATCACCAGAAAGTCAGACGTGGTGCTGTGGCTCAAAGTGGTAGAGTACTAGCCTTAAGCACAAAAGCTCAGGGACAACACCCCAGCCCTAATTTCAATCCCCAGGACCAACCAGAAAAAAAAAAAAAAAAGAAAGAAAATATTCTTTAGAGTCAATGCTATGGCTCACACCTATAATCCTAACTATTTTGGAGGCTTAGGGTGTGAAGACCTGAGTTTGAGGCCAGTCAGGGCAGAAAGGTTTGAGAAATCCTATCTAAAAGTTATTGGCAGAAGGGCTGGGAATATGGCTTAATGGTAGAGTGCTTGCCTCGCATGCATGAAGCCCTGGGTTCACTATGGCTCAAGTGGTAGAGTGCTAGAGTGCTAGCCTTAAGCAAAAAAGAAACTTAAGGACAGTGCCCAGGCCCAGAGTTCAAGCTCTAGGACTGGGAAAAAAAAAAAGTGCAACAAGATTAGAAGACTGCTGGGAGCAAGTGGTTTAAGCCTGTAATTCTAGCTACTCAAGAAGCTGAGATCTGAGGATCGCAGTTCAAAGCCAGCCAGGGCCGACTCTTATCTCCAATAAACTATTCAAAAAAAAAAAAGAAGAAGAAGAAGAAGTGGTGCTGTGGCCAAAAACTAGAGTGCTAGCCTGGATCACAAGAAGACACAGGACTGGTGCTCAGGCCCTGAGTTCATGCCTCAGTACCAGCATAAATAAACAAACAAACCTGCTAGGTGCTGATGGTTCACACCTGTAAATCTAGCTCTTGGGGAGATTGAGATCTGAGGATCAAGTTTCAAATGAGTTTGAACCTTAAAACAAAAACAAAAACCTCAAGGACAGCACCCAACATGAGTTTAAGCTCCAGAACCATCACCCAAAAAGGGGAGCATTCCTTAGTTCAAATCTCAGTACCGCAAAAAAAAAAAAAAAAGTTTAATACATTATCAAAACAGTCATGTACACCCAGTTTTTCCCCCCCTCAGGTCTACCTCTGCTTCACAGTGGTCTCCTTCCTACCCTCTAAGTGCAGGCTGGGGTGTGACCTCTTCAGAAACTTCACTGACTACCCCATCTGAAGAAGCCTGGCAGTCACTCTGTAATACTCTGCTTATCTGCTTCTAAAAACCTCTCACAATCTCTCCTTATCTTCACAGTTTCATTTTTTTGTTTTGTTTTGGTTGTTTTTGCCCATAATACTTAAGGGTCTTGAACTCAGGGCCTCACATTTGCTTGGCTTACTTGTTCACAGCACTCTACCACTTGAGTTATGCCGCCAGTCAAGCATTTTGCTGTTTAATTGGAGATGGTCTCAAAGACTTTTCTGCCTGGGCTGGCTTTGAATCTCAATCCTCCAGGTCTTAGCCTACTGAGTTACTAGGATTATACGCATGAGCCACCAGTGCCAGACTCCTTATTTTTTTTCTCTCTCTCTTCCACTAGCCTTCATCCCCAGAAGGTCAGTAACCCTGTCAAGGGTAGAAATTGACAGTCCAAAGAGCTGGCTCTCTCTTTTTTTTTTGGTCAAGATTGCACAGTGGGTGGTTGTTGTTTTCATAGTGCAATCTATCAACAACATTTTAAAATTTAAGATACACACCTGGCTTTCCATGCACACTTAAAAGATGTTCTAGCACAGTAGGGGCTAGGGTTCACCCCAGATCCCACTGCACCCCATTACATCACGCTTGGCCATCTGCTTTCCTAAAACCCCTGATCTCTTGCATCATTCAAACCAGCAACTTTTATTTCAATAAACAAACTGCTAAATGAACTTAGTGTACTTGCCTAGGGTGAGACCCTGGGTTCAATTCCCCAGCACTCAAAAAAAAAAAAAAAAAAAGCATAAATAAGCTGAGAAAGCAAGAAAGGTGGACTGTTTATTTGGTAAACATTTTTCCCCTAAATTCTGGGAAGGCTGAATTGCACACAAATCCTGTAACACAAAGGGCCACCTAAAGTACCTGAATTCGGGGAGGGGCTCCCCTAACTAGTCTCCCCTGAACTCATACGAATTGGCACATTCCTTGGGTGGGTTAATCTACTCTAACGAGAATGTTTAGGTTAAGTTAATCCATTTCCAGACTACCAGAAATGATTAACCCAACTATAAGGTTAAAGTTTTGGTTATTTTATGTTGGTTGAAGAGACGCCCTAAACCATTCATTCTGTGTAGACGGGTGGATTTTTCGTCTGTGGAAGGATAGGCATCTAAATCCCCTTCCCTGAAGAATGTCAACCGAACCCCACGAAAGGAACAAAACAAAACAAAAACCCTCATCAATCAGGTAGGACTGCAACAAGGGTCAACAGGGAGGACCACGCCAGAGAACACAATGCGCAGGCGCGCCCCAAACCTCCACAGTGTCTCGAGACTTCGTTCCCCCCCCCATCCCCCGCACTGCGCAGGCGCCTAAATGGATTAAGCGTTCCCTCCCCCTCCCTTCCCTCAGGGAGTCGGAAGAGTACGCATGCGCCGCCCTGCGTCCCTGTCCGCGGACCAATAGGAAGCGACGGCGCCCTGGGCGCTCGGGAGCACGACGCCGTAGGCGGGGCCGGGACGTGAGGGCAGCGCGCTGGCGTCACAGGGGCGGCTATATAAGTGAACACAGGCGCCGCCCCTCGGCCCCAGTCACTGAGCCGCCGCCGAGGACTCAGCTGCCTCCCCCTTGAGCCCCCTCGCTTCCCGACGCTCCGTCCCCCCCGCCCGCCTTCTCCCGCAGCCGCCTTCCGCAGGCCGTTTCCACCGAGGAAAAGGAATCGTATCGTATGTCCGCTATCCAGAACCTCCACTCTTTCGGTAAGCCAGGGCAAGGTCGCGAGCCGGGACGGGCCGGCGGGGCGTTTCGGGCCCGGAGATTTGTGTGTGTGTGGGGGGGGGGGGGGGGGGACAGTCGTCAGCTCGGGCTGGGGAGAGGTGTCTGGGCTCAGGAGGTGGGGGGAGGGGCTCGAGCTGCGGGGCCCCGGGGACGGCGGCGGAGGGCGACCGGAAGAAGCGGGCGGGAGGTCAGCCCCGGGGCGGGCCCGCAGCGCGGGTGGCGCATTTTCTAAATGGCTCCCGGCCTTCGTCGGGCCACACCCGCCCCCCCCCCTCCGCCGCCCCGACGTCACATCCGGTGCGTCACCGCCGTTAGCCAGGAGGGGGAGGCGGTGCCAAGCCCAAGGGACGAATGCGTTCGCCAATGAGGGCTGGGAGGCTTGGCCACGCCTTGGGCGAGAGGGTTCCGGCAGGTTGCATCAGCCGATTGGGGCGCTGCCCTTCCAGCCCGGGCTCTCTGACACGTGATCGGCGGCTGCGGAGGGGCGGAGGGAGGACGGGCGGGCCTAGGGCGGAAGACGCTTTCTCCAGGCCTGGGGAATCCGGCCGTCCCTGACAGACCTGTTCGAGTACAGTAACAAAAGAACCAGTCCGTCCTGACCACCCTCACACCCCTCTCCTAAACCCCTGACGACTTAGGGTCACGGGTGTTTTTGCACGCTGAAAAGATGCAGTGTGGAGTTTTTGCCCCTGATCCACGACAGCGCTGAGCAAACCTTTTTAACGTTTCTCCTCTCAGACCCCTTTGCTGATGCAAGTAAGGGTGATGACCTGCTTCCTGCTGGCACTGAGGATTATATCCATATAAGAATTCAACAGAGAAACGGCAGGAAGACCCTTACTACTGTCCAAGGGATCGCTGATGATTACGATAAAAAGAAACTAGTGAAGGCGTTTAAGAAGGTAAGCCTAACACGACATCGCTGTGTCCACCAGGGGGCGCACACCCAAAGTGATTATTAGGTGCATTTATGCTGCTGTTGACCCTAACATGATTTTCCTACCCTGCGCTTACAGAAATTTGCCTGCAATGGTACTGTAATTGAGCATCCAGAATATGGAGAAGTAATTCAGCTACAGGGTGACCAGCGCAAGAACATATGCCAGTTCCTGGTAGAGGTGAGTTCAAGCCTGTCCTTGGGTTTTTTTAATGAGGTTTAGATTTCAGGGGCTGAGTCCTAGGCTGTTCCAGAGAGCAGTTGACTTGAGTGTTCTCTGTTGAGCTATAGTGCTTACAGGAATTGGCTTGTGTGCCCAAATTGTTGAAGAGGAGACTTTTACCTCTTGTTCTCTACTTAAAACTTTGCCCTTTTTCTCTTTACAGATTGGACTGGCTAAGGACGATCAGCTGAAGGTTCATGGGTTTTAAGTGCTTGTGGCTCACTGAAGCTTAAGTGAGGATTTCCTTGCAATGAGTAGAATTTCCCTTCTGTCCCTTGTCACAAGTTTAAAAACCTCACAGCTTGTATAATGTAACCATTTGGGGTCCGCTTTTAACTTGGACTAGTGTAACTCCTTCATGCAATAAACTGAAAAGAGCCATGCTGTCTAGTCTTGAAGTCCCTCATTTAAACCGAGGTCAAGCAGTAGGCGCCTGGCAGTGTCCAGCCTGCATCAAAGCAATAATGTGAAGTTTCAGTTAAGCCCAGAGCCCCAGGATCACAGGTGGCTATGTCTGGCCAGAAGCTCCCTCTGCAGCTTACCCTGCCCTAAGAGAATGTCACTATTTGAACCACCATGGTACTCCAGAGGAAATGGGGTAAGGCAGCAAGCAACAGCAGCTGTGCCACTAGGGGGAGCCTTGAGTTGGCCAGACATAGCCTAAGTGGGGGGTGTCCGAAAAAAGAAGGATATGAGACCAGCCTAATAACAACAGTTAAACTTTTGACAAGGGAACAAACATCAGACTGGAGTCATCTGTCATATAGCTAGCTGTAGAGTTTGCAACTTAAGTAACAGCTACCCAGTGCCATGTGAAGTAACGGACTGGTTTTTGGTTTTCTCCCAGTTTTAATGTTATGTAATGTATTTAAACCCTTATTTAAATAAAACTTGTTTTCAGAAATACCTGATTTGCAGATTCTACTTCATATATATACATACATATAGTCAAGCAAATGTATATGAAGGAACCTCAAATGGTCAGTAAAGGATGTGTCTACAAGTTCAAACATCTGGCCTTTTGTGAACTTATCCCCTCTGGGTGGTAGTTCTGCAAGCATATGAGTTGGTTGTGTTGTCCCATTAATTCATGTGATGAAGGACTTGCTCAGCAGCCTGAGGAGGGATAGTGGTCCTTGGCTGTCATTTATCAGCAACTGTGGAACTTCGTTTTACAAGATGTTAGAGTGAGGCTTGAGCACATCTAAATCTTTGCTTAAGGGCTGTATCAAAGGGAGCCTTAATCTTAAGATCTAAACCTCCCAGGTAGTCAAAAGTATATGATACAGTGAGTAGGTTGGAAGGTACTTTGAGGAGCTTCAAGGTTGAGGGGCCACTCCAGATGGAAGATAGATCATGATCTTATCCCTGAAAACAATATTTTCCCTGCATATAAATCTAGTTAGTACATTTTATTTCTTGCCAGTGTGGTGAGGGTAAAGGTCAGTATCGAAGGAGGCAGTAGGGGGGCCTATGTTGGTGTGAGGGTTGCCTTGGACCAACCTCTAGGCAGGTACTATACCAGCAAAAGAAGGGCACTGTTGAGAATATTGGCTACTTACAAAATGGAACGGTTTGACAAGTCCTGAGCCTTGAACAAGTAGTCTACTGGTTAAAAAATGTTCCTAACCCAATATGGCCATCAGCAACTTGAGGTCTCCCTAGTTTTTTGCTCCTGGAGTAGCTAGCTCATTAAAGGGATTCTTAGCTAAGCTACAGAAAACCACCACTTGGTGGGCTCTGCAGTAGGGTGGTGAGAAGGCCTGTTCTGAGCTAAGCTAGCAACATCAGGTGCCTATGAAGGCTGTTAGTCAAAAGTTGAGAACACTTGACCCAGTGGAAATTCGTAAGGATTATTGATAGCTGTCAGGACCTAGGACTTCATGTGTACTGTGCTTTCCAGAACAGGAATCCATTTTAGAAGTGACTTTAGAAAATGACTGCCTGTGGCTCATTCCTGAAATCCTAACTATTCAGAAGCGCAGACAGGAAAGTCCATGAGACCCACCTCCAATAAACTCAGAAAAAGCCAAAATTGGTACTGTGGCTCAAGTGGTATAGAGTGCTAGCCTTGAGCAAAAGGAGCTCAAGGACAGTGCCCAGGACCAAGAAAAAAATGGCTTGGTGTGGAGGGTACTGTGCTGGATGGAACAGGCCCACTGGGAAGCCTACATCTGGATAGGGCAGAAAAGGCCTGGCCGTGGAGCCACTGAGCTCATGGATAAGAAAATCTTACTACTCCCATCCTTAGCCTGGAGAGCCAAAAAGAGAGGTGCTAGGGGAAACGGTGCTACAGGCAGAGGAAAAGATAGGGCAGCTGATGAGGAGCCTTAAGAGCTCTTCTGGGTTAGCAGAGGGACAGTATCTTAGTACAAGCCAGGCCTGCACTGAGCTGACTCAATGATGACTCAGTTGCTATAGACCACGTTCTCTCTTTGGTAGATCAGATTCAGGGAGGTGATGTGACTTCAAGGAGGAAGAGGCTGAGCTTAGAACAGATGTGTTAATTTGCAAGTGAGTGTATGCAGCATTCAGTTACCCAGCCATCCTCCAGGTCCCCAGACATCCTGGGCTCCAATACCTGCCCCCTACAATAAGGACAATCCAGTTTTTTGTTTTTTGTTTGCTGTTGTTGTTGGTCATGGGGCCTGAACGCTGGGCCTGGGCACTGTCCCTCAGTCTTCAGCTCAAGGCTAGCACTCTACCACTGAGCCACAGCACCACTTCTGGCTTTTTCTGCTTATGTGGTGCTAAGGAATCAAACCCAGGGCCTCATGCATACTAGGCAAGCACTCTACCACTGAGCCACCTTCCCAGCCTCATCCTCTTTCCTTTTTTTTTTTTTTGGCTGGCCATGGGGCTTGAACTCTGGGTTTGGGCACTGTCCCTGCACTCTTTAGCTCAAGGTTAGCGTTCTACCACTTGAGCTGCAGCACCACTTCTGGTTTTCTAGTGGTTTATTAGAGACAAGAGTCTCATTGACTCTCTTGCCCAGGCTGGCTTTGAACCATGATCCTGGGAACTCAGCCTCCTGAGTAGCTAGGATTATAGGCTTGAGCCACTGGCACCTGGCTTCTTTCCTTTTGGAGCCAGTACTGGGGCTTGAACCTCAGGTCCTTACACTCATTTGGCTTTTGTGATCAAGGCTGACACTTGACTTCTAGAGCTAGAGCTCTTGCTTCAAACGCTTGATTCTCAGATCTCAGCCTCCTGAGCAGCTTACGGGCATGAGCCACCACCAACCACAAGTTTTGGCTTTTTGAGGGGACCTCTGTTATATAACTCATGCTAACCTTGAACTTAGTACATAATCCAAGCTGGCTGCAAACTTGATCCTCCTTCCTAAGCTGTAATTAAAAGCATACACCACCACATCCATCTCAACACTTCCTAAAACTGCTGTTATGAGAACAAGAGAAATTAGCTAAATGCACTGGGATCCACAAAAATGGCCAAAACTTCAAATTGTTGTACACACTAATTGGACACCATACTAGAATTTTTGTTTACCTGGCATTGGTGCCAGACATTGGTGCCCCCTTGTGGCAGCAGTGAAAAGCATAGTTTCCTGTTGGCAAGTTTACTTTTTTTTTTTTTTTTTGTCATAGGGCTTGAACTCTGGGGCTTGGGCACTGTCCCTGTGCTCTTCAGCTCAAGGCGAGCCCTCCACCGCTTGAGGCACAGCACCACTTCCGGTTTTCTAGTGGTTTATTGGAGATAAGAGTCTCACGGACTTTCCTGCTCCGGCTGGCTTTGAATTGTGATCCTCAGATCTCAGCCTCCTGAGTAGCTAAGATTATAGTCATGAGCCACGGGCACCTGGCGCAAGTTTACTCTTAACAAGCATTTTCAGTTTTGTTTTGTTTTTTTGGTCCAGTCGTGGGGCCTGAACTCGGGGCCTGGGCGCTGTTCCTCAGCTCTTCAGTTCAAGGCTAGTGCTCTATCACTTGAGCCACAGCATCACTTCTGGCTTTTTTCTTTTTGCTTGTGTGGTGCTGAGGAATCGAACCCAGGGCTCATGCATGCAAGGCAAGCGCTCTACCACTGAGCCACCTTCCCAGCCCTGCATTTTCAGTTTTATTTACTAAGCAGCGTCAAGTTCTTGAGCTCAAGTGATCTTCTTGCTTCAGTGAGTTGCTGGAACTACAGGTATACACCACTAAGCCCACCTTGATCAGTTTTCACTTCAAGAGATACAGAGTTACTTCAAAATTAGCACATAATATAAATCTTTAACAATTTCTCCTTTGTGTTCTTGCTACTGCTTTAGATAATCATAAACACATGTTCTTAGTGATCTCATCAGACATCAAGGTTCTAGGCCCACACAGGATAGTTTAGCTGCCCTGGGTATTAGCCAAATCACTTTCAGTCCCCTGGTTTTTCAGTGGCTTACAAGAATATCTGAGGGGCTGGGAAGGTGGCTCAGTGGTAGAGTGCTTGCCTTGCATGCATGAGGCCCTGGGTTCGATTCCTCAGCACCACATAAGCAGAAAAAGCTGGAAGTGGTGCTGTGGCTCAAGTGGTAGAGCACTAGCCTTGAGCTGAAGAGCTGAGGGACAGTGCCCAGGTCTAGAGTTCAGGCACCATGACTGGCAAAAAAAAAGAATATCTGAGAGCAGGGCACCAGTGGCTAATATCTATAATCCTACTTTGGAGGCTGATGATCTCAAAACCAACCCAAGTACTCTTCCTCCAATTAACCACCAAACAGCCAGAAATGTAGCTGTAGCTCAAAGTGGTAGATCACTAGCCTTGAGTACAAAAGCTCAGGGACAGGGGCTGGGAAGGTGGCTCAGTGGTAGAGTGCTTGCCTTGCATGCTCAAGGCCCTGGGTTCGATTCCTCAGCACCACATAAGCAAAAAGATAAAAGCCGGAAGTGGCGCTGTGGCTCAAGTGGTAGAGCACTAGCTTGAGCTGAAGAGCTGAGGGACAGTGCCCAGGCCCAGAGTTCAGGCCCCACGACCGGACCAAAAAAAAAAAAAGCTCAGGGACAGCACCCAGGCCCTGAGTTAAAGTCCCAGGAATGAAACAAAAAAAGTCTGAGAACTCAGAAAGTTTCACCCCCAAACTAAAAAGAACCCCCCACAAAGAATGAATAAATATTTAATGCTACAGGTAACATTGGTTAGTATAACAAGTACAAATAGTTGTAAGTACAAAAGTTTTATTTTTGTCGGTTGTAGGTCTTGAACTCTGGGCCTGAGCACTGTCCCTCAGCTCTTCAGCTCAAGTCTCAAGTCTAGCGCTCTATCACTTGAGCTACAGCGTCACTTCTGGTTTTCTGGTGGTTTATTGGAGATAAGAGTTTCACGGACTTTCCTGCCTGGGCTGGCTTTGAACTGTGATCATCAGATCTCAGCCTGGCCCAGCTTTTTCTGAATAGTTTATTAAATAGGTAAGAGTCTCACAGACTTTTCTACATGGGCTGGCTTTGAACCTCAATCCTCAGATCTCAGCTCCTGAGTAGCTAGGATTATAGGCATGAGCCACTGGTACCCAGCTGAGAAAATGTTTTTAACAAAATTTTTTGCAAAAATTATAAACATCTTTCAGAAAAATGTATGCTTATTTGGCCTGTGAATTCATTTTACTCATTTGGAATGAGGCATGGCATGGTAGAGCTTTGCAGCTAACAGTAGCTAAGCTAAAAGATCAGCCAGGTGCTAGTGGCTC